CGTAAAGAGGAAGCAATGTGGTGGCAGGACAAGACCACGGAACACTTAAACAAAATGGTAGGTGTCCTTGATATAGGCCAGGTGTAGGACTGACAGAGGATTCAGGTCTGCTCCCAGCTGGCTCCTCCCCCGGGGACTTTCGTGCCTGCCCCCCTCTCTATCTCTCTTTTCTGGCTCCCTCTAAATTTTAAATGGCCACGGAACGGAACTTTTTCATTTAGTTATAGTTTTTGGCCTATTTTAGATTAGTTTTCAGATTTCCCTTATTACTTTAACCCCCTCCACTATTTCCCTTAAATTTCTAACCATTAAAAATTTTTGTGTTTCTCTAATGTCCCTTTAACTTTTCTCCCTCAACCTTCCATCTTTAAGTTGTGACCTTTCCTTCATTCCCCCATCCGTTTTCCTTTTTCCCTCTTTCCAGCTCCTGCCTTTCCATTCACTTGTTACTTTCTTTCACCGGTTGCCTGGCTCTCAGACGACAACTGTGGGCACGCATTTTGGGCTCCTGTCTCAATTTGGCCTCGCTGACCAGGCGGGCTTTTGTGGCTCAGGTCCGGCTTCTGTCCGATTCTGCTGAAGGTAAGTTGGGTGGCTTTGGGCTTCGGGTTAGGGATTTGGTTTAGAAGGCAAGGGGGTGGGTTTTCCATTTCAGGTTTCGGTTAGGGTTTCTGGGTTCAGGTGAGGTTAGGGTTAGAATAGTGGGTTAGGGAAAGGGGTTAGGGTTAGGTAAAGGGGCAGGGTTAGGCTTAATTTGTAGGTGGGAGGGCAAAATTTGATGCTTAGGGTTCCGAATTAGGATTAATGCTGTTGGGTTTCAAATTTTATTGCTTGGGTTAATCAAATTAGTGCTTAGGGTTAGGGTAAGAGGACTTATAGGCCCCAGGGGAGACACCCATGCACACAAGCAGGCGCTGGCTGGATTAGTTTTAAACTGACCTGCCTCCCCCCGTGAGGGGAGAGATAGCCGTGCACGGGCACATTACTCGCAGCTAGGATGTCCCCCCTGCGACCTAGCCTCATTCCCCTCCAGGATCAGGTAAGTGGTTTTTCTTGTCATTTTTTGTCTTTTTTTCTCCTTTCTTTTTCAGGTTTTCGGGGGACCCGGCGGATCCAGGTAAGTACAGGTAGGCAGGTATTAATTTAGAGGTAAGTATAGTTGTTTTTCCAAATTGTGTATGTGCATTTTGTGTTCAATGAATTGTTTTTTGAAAATCATTCGTTGTTGCATATTCATTTTTTTAGGTTTTGCAAGTTCCAGGTTGATTTTGAGCTTTAGTTAAACATTTCTTTGGCTTTTTGTCATAAATGATGAAAAATAATAACATGAGAATAATAAATTATAAAATAATCCCCCAAAATAACAAGCTAAAACAATAAACATAAGGATTTGTGCCTCATCGCGACGTTTCGACTACTCTAAGTCTTCTTCAGGCTCGGGCACAGGAAAAAAATAAAATGGCTCCCTGGTCTGTGTCTGCAGCTTTTATACACACGCTGGGGGACTGCTCCCAGCTGGCTCCTCCCCCGGTCCACTAAGTGGTCCACAAACTCAGACATGTAATAAGTCTCGCTATTACAATCCGGGACGATCGGTTTAACCTGGGGAATTTTCAATAGAACCGTCCAATTTCGGGGATCTTTATCAATTTTGGGCAAGATATGAAATCGTTTCTCTCTGGGTGTTTTATTTGCTATTAAATATTTTTGTTCCGAATTAATGTATTTGTTTGTTTTTAATGTATTTATTATTTTAGCCACCATGGGAATCTTTTCTTTAAATATAGTTTTTTCAGATTTTTATAGGGGGCTCGGGCCTGAGGAGTTCACGTGGCGGCCTCTGCTCCAGGGGAGGGGGTGCCATAATTGGATCGCCATCAGGTATGGGGTCCATTTCCCCAGTCTCCGTCATAGTGGCGACGGAGATGGCGTGCGGCGGTTGGGGCGGGGCCTGTGGGCCGGGTTCCAGGATGGACTGATCCTGTGGATCCTCGGCCGCAGTTTTCCGCTCCTCTACTGCCGCCACGGGTTGGGTAGGCGCTGCTGCTGAGTCCCAGGGTTAGGGTTAGGGTTAGGGTTTGGACTTGCTCCTAACCCTGACCCACATGGATGGCCTGTGCCAGATCTCCCGCCTTCAGCACAAAAACCTAACCCTAACGTGCCCGTGCACCACAGTCTCTCCCTTCACGGGGAGAGGCAGCTCTGTCCCTCAAGCCTTACCCTCACCCCTAATCCTAACCTTAACCCTAACCAAAGTGAAACACACGATGGAGAGAGCTGTAACACCTCCCAGGCCAAGCCACCAGCCTGGTTCCCATCCAGTGGTCCAGAGCCCTGACCTCTGAGCCCATGGCTGACAGCTGCTGCCCACTGCTCTGACCGGAGCCAGACTGGAGCCTCCCGCTGGACACAGGCCGCCTCTGAAATGTGGTCCAGAACCAGGATCAGCAGGGTCCAGACTCACCTTCACCATCCAGCCGTACAGAACGGATCTCTGCGTCATCATGGGGATCACACCCATAT